ATCAGTGCACAAAGGTTTGTGTTAAGTACAATATATACACATGTAGAATTTGCAGCAGCTCCATTCTATATATTAAAAAACAAACACAAATGGGTTCTGCCACATGGGGACAAATAAATACACATTAAATAATAAACACAATATACCTAGTCAAATAGGTTCAACATAAATATCCATTAATAATCTAAATGTCGTGATTGACATTCACAAGTGAAGGTAAGGTAGCCTGAAACCAAGTCATCTGTGCCTGTGCACATGTTTGCCAAACCTCCTCAAGGGAATTCCATGAAATTTACTCAATGGCAACAGATGAGAGATAGATGAGACTATCAATCAAACGCCCAACCAAAATATCTGGTAAAGTCACAGCAAATGGCAAATTCCTTGCAGATTAATGAAAACCACTCTGGCAATTTGCAACAGATGATATATGTTACCACCAGAACACCTGATAATAAACAATGTGTATTGCCGAGTATACAATGTTGTGTTTTCAAGTCATTGTTAATTACCTGCAATCCATGAATGTGCATAATCATTGCACCATGCGTGTAAACATACACGTGTAAATTAATTGGCCAATGCGTGTGCAAGTATAATTATATCGTGTAAATATGCTCAATTGATTTGTGTTGCAGGAATGCTGTGGCACCCTCAAATGCTGTTTTTCTTTGGTTTATTGCCAGCCCTGTTAATGTCATGCACATACAGCCTATGTGAGCTCCACTGTACTTGAGAGTCTTGCTGCCATCAGTGTCAATTTCAGGTCTGACTCACTGGTGTGTAAAGTGATTTATTCCGTAAAAGCATCGCCAGGAGTGTTAGGATTAATATTTGCGGAAGTGCAATTATGACGGGTCAGGAGACCACCACTAAAAGCACGGGGTAATAGTTCAGCTTGCACGCAGTGGCATCTGCAGAAATCATTTAAAATGTTAAGACGGCAAAAAACGAAAACACCTTGAAAAATTGCACGATAATTAAATGTTAATATGCAATTAAATTATGCAGAGAGAAACCTAGAAAGAAGTCCTGCTTTAGATTACCAGCCTGGTAATTATATATATAAAATGTATTACATTCTGGGAAATTAAATCATGCTGCTTTACAACATTTATAAAAGTCAACAGAAATAAAGTACAAAGCATCTGTATCTGGTTCGTATGCACTAATCAAACCTACTCTGCATCACCTAAGAAAGATGGGGAGGCAATTAAGGTATATAGTCGTTTGTAAATCCACTGCTGGATGAATATACGTGAAACATGTGGTAGTCATCATGGGGATTGTTTGACCATACTTCACCACCTTGGTCAGTGCAAGTTGGTGAAAGGTGGGTGGGGAAGCCCCAGGACTGCTTCAGAATACATTTTTTTTAAGGCGAGCAGGTTATTTGGAGCAAAGTCGTAAAGGAAGTTGAAGAAATAACGGCACCAGCTATCTCAATTGATCGTGTTCATTAGTTCCTACAGGCAGAACGTGTTTATATTTTGTTCAAAGTATATTGGTCCATGGGGACAGTGTTCCTTTAAAGTTTAATTGCAAAGGCTGGTATTAGTACTGAATGAATGCATTTACAAGCTGAACAGACCGCAGCAATGTCAGTACATCTCGGTGACATTTACACAATCATCTGAGTACAATGGAGGCAAAATTGCATGGCCACTCCTTTGGATGGCATTTTCTAAACGTTAAGAGATTCTTCATTATACGGCATCGAACGCCATTTTTGTTAATCATGACGATAAAGAGGAAATTGTGCATTCAGAGGCATTATTGTACATGTATATACAGTGTAGGTGAAGGACTTATTGTGTCTTGCATTCATGGCTCAATGCTACAGAGCCATGGTTATTTTCTGATGTCATGCGAAAATTGCTTCTCCGAGATGATATGCTGAGATGATTCCTTACGCCCATTTCTTTACCACTGTAAGCTGCTCTTCAAGAGGAAAGAAGTGACAGGTTTACAGAGACATATCAAACATCTAACATCACAGTGCATACACAAAGATGACCACCATCCCCAAGGATGCTTCACTTTGGTTTCCTTTGCCCGGTATTCTTCACAAAGGATGTGTTCAAACTTAACTGAAACTATAAAGATTTTTTTTTTTACCAGGTAATGCCCACCGAGAAGCAACCTGGCCACAAATGATAGCTCAACGAAGTGGCTTATCACGTGGAATTTTATAGCAGCCAAACACTCTAAATGCGTGGTGATGTTGATTTTAACCGTGGAGGGTAAAACCGGAGGACCTCGAGAAAACTCCACGCGACCACGGGGAGAACATGCAAAATCCAAATGTACAGGCGTCAGGGTCGGGGTCAATCCCACGACTTCCTGTATACCAGGCGAGGTAGTTAAAACATTTCTTGTGTCAAGTCCACAAATATATTTTATAGTTCGGATCACAATTGTACCAGTGTAAAAGGAAATTGTTGGACCTTACAAGAAAGATCCTTAGGCTACTCAATAAAATAGATAATGTGGTTTTGTGTTCTGTGGCAGTATTATTGGTATTTTGGTCTCATCTGAAGTACATGTACGTTGTAATATGATTAAGACTTTTAATAAATGAATAACCCGACTGTGGAGTTGTCCTTTATAATATATGCTCAAAACAACCAAGGTTAATTGACGTGTTTATGCAGTGCACACACTTCACCTGGTATTTTACTGTTATTTATAGATGTTGCTCATGAAATCACTGATCTTTACATCAGAGCAGCTTCCTTAAGCCCTGCTCTGTTGGAGAGATGATGAGTTACATCCGGCAGATAACCTCAATTCGGAATGCAATGGCACACCATTGCTTTCTTAAAATAAAACCTGGGATTCTTTACGACTGTGGGATTCAGACCCCTCAGTTAGGAGGCTTGCATTGACCTTCCAAAATGGAGCGGCGTTTTTTTTTTAAATCTCCGTTAAATAAGTTGCACGCAACGAGAGTGCCCAAAAGCACGGGATAACAAATGGAGCTAAGCCACCTGTTGGATCAGCCCAAAAGGGTATATTTATTTAATAATAAAAATATATATTGTTATAATCCACAAGACGAACTGTACATGGTGTCTTGGGTGGCCAATCACGTGACGTGCGAGTCTGTTTGGTGTCGGGTGCAGAGGCATTGAACCCTGACCCACTGATTTACCCGCCTGCTGCTTCATATACCAACACCACGAGCCCGAGCACATTGTCCTGGGGACCAAAATAGATGGCACATTTAAACTATGAATATGCAGTCCAGGCTTTCCTGAAAACACTGGATGTTAAGCCAGCTGGCACAACTAAATAATCTAGTGTCTTCCATATATTTTATATTTTGCTTGAAACTTTGCAGGGCACTGCCTTTCAATGAAGCAATTTTCTTGGTCCATTATGGAATTCGTGGGCTTTGTATGTACATCTTTTTTCATCTTTCACAGCTGTACAGAGCTGTTCTTATTCCATGAAATATTGAATTTAGCAGTCGGCGTAATTTAAATAAAGAGGACATTTCTGTCAGATTTATGCTAAGAGTATACAATGGAAAATTTTATCTCTCATTAAATCGGTACAACTTGCTTTTCAAGAGTGCCCAATGGCACATACCGTTATTTAAACGAGCCTGACGTAGTTTTTAATTCTGCCAGCGTTACGACACCTCCATTAGCCACACCATCAACTCGGATTGCAGAACAAGCTCTGTCCCACTGGGAATTCAACAAGGAGGTCATTTCCACATGTGTCAATAACCACGAGCAAGTGTGAGACACTGAACTACATGTCATTCAAATATTTTAAAACATGTCAATGAAACTCAATTGCACACATTTTTTAAAAAATTGTAGAATAAAAAATGCCCCCCCCCCCCTCCACTCGATACAATAGTGGTAACCCGTTTAGGTGGAATTCAGTTATTCTTAATAACGATACAAAAAAAATCAAATACAGCTGGTAAGATTATTAAACACCAAATAGACACCTAGTATACTGGCAGAAAAGGATCCCATAGGAATAAGCTCAAGAGCGCCTGGGTCAGTGTTTTGAATTGAAGTGACTTTGGCAGTCAGTTAGTTACCTGTTCCGCAAAAAAAAAACTTCATCTACCGGCGCTCACACAATTCGACACACGTGTGTCTGTGCCAAACAAAAAAAAACACACAACCACGCAACAGGTACGTTGCAATAGCGGGGAATTCGGTAGCGCAACAGTGACGGAGACAAAGAGACGGGGTGCATGCGATTCAAAGACGGGCAAGCGAGCAAAACGACGCGAGCACGCAAACAAAATCGCATCAAGCACCGTCCAACATTTATTTTACCGCGGCCAAAATCGCCTTCGACATGCCGATCTATATCATGCACGAACGTAAACGACTCCGAGTTGGGTGAACGTTGGACGAATCAGCCGAGCCGGCGCGTGCGTTAACGAACAACGATGGAGACACACGAGAGAGGAAAACGTCGAAATAATCGGCAATTTAAAAGAAAAAAACGACTCGGATGAGTGCACAACAAATGCAGTACCTGCGAGCAAAAGAGCAGTCAACTCCAGATGTGAAAACACAAGGCGAGTTTTCGCATGCTCCAACAACGCACACACGCGCACTCAATTTCGCACCCTTCGCACAAAAGGCATACAATCGCTAACACGTTCAATGAAGGCTCCGACACGCGGCACAGAGGACACGCACATTAACAGTTGCGTTCATATTAAGACGACGGCTATCGCGACGGACAAAGGGACCCGTCGGATAGCGGCAGCGCGCGGTTGCCCGATACACAACATCGGCTCCAATAGCCGCACGGAGGAGAAGACTGCAGCGACACACCCCCCCAAACGGTGAGACAAAGGAAACTGAATTCGCATGTCGTCACTCTCCCCAAACCCCTGACTCACAAGTGGTGCAGTGCAGGGTTCTCTGAACGTTGCCATGGAAACGCACAACCACATGCACACTGGCAAGCCTGCACCAACGCACGCGCGCACAGGCACAGGCACACGTGCACGCGACCGGCTCGCGTGCGCGCGCGTGCGTGCGCGCGTACGCGTGCGTGCGAGCGCGCGCGCGCACTAACGGGCACGCGTACGCGAGCAAGCCACTCGCCATCCCACTGCACCACACAGAACACAATTACCTTCTTGTTTCTCACTTGGCTCCATATGTCGATCACCCGGCTTATGTATTTTTTTTTTCAATTTTAGTCGATCATCGCTGAAGAAATTATTTTGTTTTCGTCCGTCTTATACTTTTGTCCTCCGCACTCTTTTTTTTTTTGTATATCCAACTCGCGCAAAAGTCAAAAGATTGAGTGCACAAGTGGATATTTTTTTTTTGTTTTCCACCAGAGTTATTAGTTCGGCAATCTTCACAGCGCAAGTCTTGAGCTGCAGGTCGGTACGTACAATTGTGTTCAATTTCGCTCTGTTCGCCGTCTCACATTTGCGCACACTGCTCAGCGGTGCTCCCAGAGCATCGTCACGCGTTGGGTGCACTTGGCAAAAGTTAAAGCGCACTCTCCAAACAATGTCGCGTCTTAACGTGCACAAGCGCTTGCCTCCCCCCCCCGCGCCTTAACTTAAAAATAGCGGTCGTCGAAAAACGGTCCACAACATCCGGATACTTCACACGATGCCAAGCATCGACCGCCTAAAACTTGAATTGTCTTCGGATGAAAAGTCTTCGAAATCCGTACAGGAGAGCCAGGTCCTATTTTGCACGAGGCAAAGCTTTGGGAAGAAAAAAAATCTTAACGCGCGCTTCGCCACGCACGCTGGGACCGGCACGTGGATTACCACGCGCAAAACTTGAGCGTCTTTATCCGCAGGCAGGATCGCAAAATTGTCAGCCGGACGCCGCTTCCTCCTATACCCCGCGATCGAGAGCGCTTCGAGAGGTCAGCTGGAGAATAAAGAGGAAGACTACAGCTGTCCACACTGACGAGCAGACATTTCCGAGGGTACTGGCTGCACGTTATGCTTTTTCCCCCCACTCTCAGGCTCTCTCCCTCTCCCCCACCACCCCCCCCCCCCATCTCTCTCTCCCCCTTTTTCTTCCCTGCCTCTCCCATTCCCCCTCCCCTAGGATTCCCTGCAGTATTGCAGAGGCCCGAGATCTGCATTATGACAAATCAAGCCTTCGAGAGCAATGATACAACTGGCCCCCAAGATTTATAAATAGACAAGCTGCAGGAGCTATGCTCCACATCAAAGACCACCCTCCCCCCCCCATGCCTGTCACATTGAGCGTGCCACCACAACCCAAACTCGGCCCCACACGCTTGAGCCATCAACATCCTAAAATGTACCATTCATTGTGCACCCACCGCGCCAAGGGAGGAAGGCACAAGGCACTGTGGATTGCATTGCACCCGAATTAATTATACCCACCGATATAACGGGAAATGCTAGAAGAAAAAAAAAATCACGATTTATATATTATCATGCTTTTTGTTTAAAAAATTATATATATGATGGGGAACTCCCTCCCCACTAACTAAAAAAAAATCAAACACAATTACGCAATTAAAAAAAAACACTCGCTTCCGTAAACTCGGAAATAAGCTAATGAAAATCTGCACCACGTAACCCTAAAAAATTAAAACAGGGTTTTGGGTGATGAATTTACATCCGTTATACTGTTTTTTTTCAGTCTCACAATGATCTCACCATAACAGCGTGAACAAAATTATTCCTTTTCAAAAGCATCTCATTGCACGTAAAGGTGATTTGTTAACTGGACATGGATTCAGATGAACTGGCCATGGATTCAGATGAACTGGCCATGTAAACCAGCACTGACCTCGATGGCTTGGACATCCATTCCATATTATCCGTTCCCTGATGTTCACAGCAGCCTCGATCACTCACTAGCCTTCCAGCTTGCTGGCGGTATGGATATAGCCATAACAGTATAAATAACAATGAAGAAAAGGCCTTTACTACACCACTAGCAATTCCAGTCAGTCCATGAGAGAATTAGAAATAAGATTTTGAAGCCACCATAAATACAACTTAAAAAATTAAACCAAACCAATGGTCACTTGGAATATATTATCAATGTTTTAAAACTGCTTGTGTTAAACACACTGTAATGTAATACTGTAATTGAATATTTCAATGACACGTTATTTACATTGTATTTTCGCATTAGGTGTGTAGATTCAATGCAATTAACTAACCAATACGTCAGCCAAACCGTGTTGCAAATGGCATAGGTTAATATTTCAAGGCAAATATTACACCGATAAGGTGACAGGGGTAGTGTTTGCCAACCATCCCAAACTGATCTTAGTGTAGCAGAGACTCTAACAAATATGCATAATGGCTTCACTAGGTTTAGCCAACAGCAATTGAAATTCGCAATCCTTCCCTCATCTAGAAACTAAACAAGGAACGTTAAAAAAATCCAGCATTCAATCCAAAATAAAACCAGATTAAACATCAAAACTGTTCATTAATTGCAAACGAAATTAACACGACACTGTGTGCCACTAATATGCAAATTAAATAAGAATTAGGTTAACTCCAAATTCATCAAAATAGTGCAGTCTCGCCCCCACTTCACTTTTTGAATCGTACCCAGCAGTGTTTGTTACACTTATTCATGATCATGGCACGCGATGCAATCGACCGATTCTCTGAATGCAACGTTGCGTATTTAGATCAGTGTAACACGGACTTGGTAGCCCAGAAAATCTAAGGAGGATAACGTCTGGATAGAATAGATTGATCTCTGAGATTTGGGATTTAAATCCTACTCTACTCCAGGACTTCGTATAATAAGTACTCTAAGCTTCTTTTGTACAGTAAGTCTTGTGTGATGATATTTGCCCTGAAAATACAACTACATGTGGTGTGTATATTCTGTTTCTTATAAAAGGGGTTTACATAAATGCGTCTGATGCTGACTCTCAATTGTCTTAGTATCTTAAGAAACATTGAATACTGCACTGTAGGTACTTGATCAAATCTCACCCTCTGTAGAGTTGTTGTTGATGGAGGAACATAAAATGTATGTGCTCTGATCCTGAATGGATGTAAGTGGCAGAATAAATAAATACCTGTTTTAGAATGACTCAATTTAAAATTCGTCATAACTCGCACACGCTAACAACACCAATCTGATCTAACGTATTTGTACTGGAAGAAACTTTGTTTTTAAGCTACAACCATGCAATATATTTTGGTAATGTTCCACAACAAAGCTAGCAATGGAATTTGAAGTGGTGGGGGCAAATAACCGATTTTAAAGACACCAAAACGCAATGCAGAATTTTAGCCAATCAAACGTGTGGTTAACTCCATAAAGCATACACATAATGTATGTTCAATAACAAGTTTAGTTTTCACATGCGCAGCTTTGCTAGATGCAATTGTATTTAAACACATTTCGAGAATAGTTGGGTGCAAAAAGTAGAACAAGCCTTCGATTTAACTGTTCTCTTACTTACAGGCATACAACACGGTGAAATATCTAATACAAAAGATACATCGTGTGTACAATCCAAAATGCACAATGGACAGTTTGTGTACGTGAATAATGAGCTACGTTTAAGCTTTAGAGTCATGCCAAAGCAAAGTGTTGTCCCTGCTCAGGTGAACAGAATTAAGTGGCCCGAATATCCAAATATTAATCGGCACGAAAAAATATTCCTTGTTACAGTTTTTATCCTGCACCTTTCAAAAAGCAAAGACGTTCAATTTAACACGTAGGCTTTCGCGACAAATATTATTCATAATAAAGGTTTTTGGGTTAGATCGCGTTATTTATAAATGTGCCGAAACCCACCACCACCCGACACGGCCAATCAGCAAAATAAAGTGTCACGTTGACAAAGACAATTAGTTCACTACTTTAGCCCACCGGTGTATTGAAGAGTGAATCCACAACATTTACAGTTTGCATTCAACGTGACACTTTATTTTGCTGATTGGCCGTGTCGGGTGGTGGAGGGTTTCGACACGTTTATAAATAACGCGATCTAACCCAAAAACCTTTATTATGAACAAAGGCATTCAACTCTAAATATGTACTAGAATAAAAAAATAAATGTTTACAGTCCCTTCGGAATCGATTGCTCTCTGAAACCCCTTTTCAGCCGTGCGGGTTTATTAACCATACTTCACCACACTTGGGTCAGCGTGAGGCGGTTAAGGAGAATGGGAAAGACCAATCCAGCTAATAGTGGTGTTATCAGAATGTTACCATGTACCGTATGCCATCATCCTTGCAGCATTTTCCACAACCCAAATATTGAAATCAAAGCTTATCTTCTCAGCAGTGCACGGAGCTTATATTTAGTAAGACGTCGTGACCTCAACTCAACATAGTCTGAATTTAACACGGAGGCTTTCGCGAAACAATATTAAGATTCGTAATTTATTTGAGGTTTCGGATCACGTGATGTCAAGTGTTTCGTACACACACCGGTGTGCTGAATACACTCGCCTACGTGTGAAACGTATCACTGGCACGTTTGTTCATGTGACAACTTTATTAATTGCCTGTGTCGGGTGGAGGAGGGTGTATGACACACATTTGATTCACCTCACTGTGATATGACCCAAGAATAATTTATGAATCAACACAGCCGAACTTGGATGTGAATGCTCATCTGTACAGTACTGTGCTTGTAATCATGAGGGGGTAATCAAACCGATGTATACAGTACTCACACTTATTTCACTAAAGCACATATTTGGCTTAAAGCTTTTGTGACTGCAGGAATTCATACTCTTTGGGTCTTTCGGTAAAGTCGCATATATTCTGCCTCAGCAGTCCGCCTGCTGTATTCTTTCACCTGAAGACGATTGCCTGTGTTGCGATTGAAACGTCGTCATTTTTTAAAAATTATTTTTCTTCTATCTACGTGACTTTACCGAAAGACCCAAAGAGTATGCACATATTATTTCAAGCGAGCACGAAAATTAAGTCATCCTTTCGATACAGGGCCAATAACAGTTGCTTCAACTGTTTAAAGAATCTTCACAAAACCTGTTACCTATCGCCCCTGCTCCCTCCTCTCTCCCATGAAAAACCAATGTGGTATAATATCCGTTGAAAAAATAAATAAGCCACTGGATTTTAAAAGTAAAATATAACCACAGAAGAGTACTAAACTTACAATTATAAACCACTTAAAAACCAAAAGTCCGTTTATATTTGACACTATCCATATGAAGAATTTAGTTAATGTACATCATTATGAATATTCATTAAATGTACAAATAGTTTTGTCCAGTCTGATACTCAACAAACTCATAATGGATGAAACTCCAGAAGGAACTGGCCCTAGCAATGATTGCCAACACTCACAGGGGTAGATGTCAGGTTATTTTTTTCTTCTTCTTCTTCACATTGGGGTGGTGAGCCAATGGCAATTGGAATTTATCAGGTGGGGGGGGGGGGGGAGAGTGGGCAGGCAATGGACTCTACTGACCTGCAGTTGGGATTATGGCCAAGACACCAGGGTTAACTCACCAACTCTTTATTGAAGAGTGCCATGGGATCTTTAATATCAACAGAGTAGATAGGACTTTGGTCTTAATGTCCCATTTGAAGGGCAGCGCTTGCCATGGAACAGTTTCTAATACCGTACCAAGATACTGGGGACATCGTTTGAGTGTCGGCCAAAAATGAAAAATCGTCCAGCTCTCGAGCCCGAATGCATAAGTGCCTCCCATTACTTGACAACCAACACTGCCCATCCCGCAGTTTACTCTCGCCCACGGTGGCGTCGTAAAAGTCGAGAAAAGCCCAAGCTTTTGTCGGGCTCTCGGATTCGGAGAGCCAGGGCGCCCAATTTAGCGATGAGAATGGTAAGATCATTAGCGCAGCGACAGCATCAACGGGGTAACTCGAGCGGGTGCACGTGCCAGATTCACCCCGCTGAACATGGGGCTCGACCCCGCGGAACTACCGCCAGCGTCCGCCGATGTGCAGCAACGAAGGGAACGCCTTGGAAAGGTGGCAGGAAAAAGAACCCAAGAGACTTAGGCGAGTCGCTCGCGTCAGTGTCTAATCGGAGGAGCAACGACCGATTTACTGTGCTGGGATTATGGGGGAGCCGTCAACAAAAAAGACGCGGTGGCTCTCATTAAAATCAATGGCCATTGTCATGGGTGACGCTTGGCAGGAGAAAATAGTACAGTATTTGTTTTTTTTATAAACGAGAACGAGTAATCCGACTGAAACCAAACAAATAATTGTCAAAGAAAATCTGGCTGTACGATGATGATGTTCTTCTCATTATTATTATCCACCGTGCATTATTCACATTAAATCACAAGGGCGATGAAATATACTTGTAGCTCTGGCAGGGCTGCGGCTCCGTGTTTTGTTGCTGTTGCTGTTATTATTCCATCCCGTTTATTTGTTTATTTATTTATTCGGGCCGTGCGCGCCTGCCTTGTAAACACTGCACCATATACATTTCCCAGCAACGGCGATTCCCCTTCCAGCCGGCACAATGAATGCTGGGCAACTGCAATGCAGCATTTCTGTGCAAACTGCCATCGTCCGTGAGCGCACAAGCAACCCCGATCCGCTCGCTCACTCGCTCGCTCGAATATGCCACCGCGAGTCACGCCGGCAATGTGATTTATAGCCACAGGCAATCCCGAAGTTAATACAAGGTACGTGCTTTGCGCCAATATTTTCCTGGACAGAATATATATCTTGATGCATGTTTGATAAAACACAGGATGGGAATTTACGCGCGTTTCATTTTTTTTGGGGGGTGGTATATTTATTTGCCAGTTGTTTGTTATTTAGCATGACACGATTTGTCGGAGGAGCTGATCAAATGCGGAGTGTTGCATCAGTTTAATAAAAAAAAAACATTAACCTGCAAATGTCGCTTTTTTGTTTTCCTGTTCATATTATCGAGTGGACATTTGAGACTAATAATTCACGAGTAACTCAATTAAACGTAAAGCATCCGTTGCAGCGAACAGAGATTTACTAAAAGTCACCGCTTGCTCTGTACTATGCCGTTAATACAGTTTAGCACAGATGCTTTATGCCCTCGCCTGATGTGTCTCACGTTCCCATGTTCACTGACACTATTCAAATCTACTTGAACTTGTCATTTACTGTAAATGCACGGTTCGGGGAACTTTTTTAACCCATCTCCATTTAATGTCTGCAGGATATAGAATATTAAAGCTCAAGTTCGATTGTTTTACATGCGGCCTGTGGGAATGCTTTGTACAATATCTAACAATCTGTTATGACCTCAGCTTTGACAATAACACCATGTGCACTTTCCAAAGGAACAAAAGAAAGTATAAATGGAGCCGTTACACGGGTGCTTTGTTCTTAATTACATTGCAAATGAGCTAAGGGATGGTATAATTATTGTACTGCACTACATATATTACGATATTGTAAAGGTGAGCTCTTTAACCAATGCAAATTAAAAGCAAATGCAACTTATTATATGATTGGTACACATTCGTGGTGGTGATAAATTACAGCACCAATATCACGATTGATACGTTATGACATTCAAATGCCAGTCAAGGGGTTAAAACTGTGCATCAGCCATTTCAGGTTCAATGACAGCTAAAAACCAAAACTTTGCAAGAAGCAAACAGCGGCCGTACAATGGAACTATGGGGGTCCCCGTCACAGGAACGTGGACATGTTCCTGCTCTTGGATATGAGCACCACCTAACGGTGTTGCTACAAACAATGGAGCGGCCGACTTTTCAAAAAGCAAAACGAGGTCAAAACGGTTTTTGTTTTCGTAGAATCTGGATACAGCGCCACCATCTGGAAGTGAGGACAAGGTGCGGCTTATATCCACTATGTGCTCTCGTATAAAAAGTTACCCTCTGCTTACACCCCCTCCCACCACTGCAATCAATGTAAACACGTGTTGCTTATATTAGGACTGTGCTTATATAAGGTGTTCTCATAGACAGTTTTCGCTGGACGTGTACACTATGTACACCCCCCCCCCCGCCCATTAAATAAACTGCAAGTGACTTGGTTGAAGAGATTTGGACCTGCGGCTGGGGTAAAGAAGCATGGTACGAAGCCAGTGGTACCAGCGCCAAGGCAGAGGTAGTAACCTGGCATCCGTACGCACACTTTAGAACAGTTTTTAGTGTTTAGTTTGTTGTCTTCCCCCTCCCACCTGCACCTCCGATTAGCACGGTTGGCTACATACGGTGCGAAAGATGTTCAACATACATCAGAACAGAATTATACATTTCATCATGTGCAGGCTATTTACTTGTAAATATACTGTAATAATGCACATGCACACAGTAGCGAGATGTTAACTACCTTGCCTGGTATACAGGAGATCGTGCGTTCGATCCCGACCCTGCCACCTGTATATTTTGAGTTTGCATGTTTTCCCCATGGTCGCCGGTGTTTACCTCCACATTCAGAAACACGCGTTTAGGGTATTTGGCTGCTGTACATTTCCACGTGATAAGCCACTTCGTTGAGCTATCATTTGTTGCAAGGTCGCTTCTGAAAATGAGCTATATAGCTCAGTGGGCCTTACCCGGTTAAACAATAAATTTTGATTTAAATCTTTAGTGACTGCAGGGATTCATATTCTTGGTTATTTCGGTAAAAGTGACGTAGAAGGGAAACAATAAAATAATAAAAAATAAAAAAAACAATAAAAATTCTCACGACGTTTCCACTGCAACACAAGCAATCACCATCAGGTGTGAAAACCACAACAACTACGTGCCTTTACCGAAATAACCAAGAATATGGTAAAAAAAAAACAGTTCATCAATAGCTTACACACGCCGAAACACAAACTGTGCGACCAGTTTAAGCCAAGAAGTCCGGTGGCCACCGCTGCTGAGAGCGACAACCGCGTGTCTGTGTGTCTCGGCGTTTAGTTGATCCCCAGGTGGATGGGTACTTGGCGTGCCACCCAACACTCACGCGCCTCACGTAGCACGGCCTCGGCTTGCGCCATGGGGAGGGGGTTGACGAGTCACACGCTTCAAATGAGTACCTGGGGTGGTGTGTTAAACATCACCACTGGGAAGACAAAGGCGGCCGGGAATAGTGAGTGTTGACCACCCACCCTGCCTATTGTTTCGTGATGACCTTCATAGGGTGCTCGTTAACAGCACTTGCCCCGAAGGTCTGTTAAGGCTACACGGGGGATCTTTTTCTCTGCGCATCAAATGCCTTCGCGGGGTCACAGACAAAATAAACTGGTGTAGTTTACTGGCCAAGCTTCACTCTTCATCAAACCCTATTTAAACCTACACACTACTACCAAAACCGATTGAGATGTGGAATAGATCATTAAAAAAAGCGGTCTGATCAAGGGGAACACACCTTGAGAGTTTTATTGTTATCTTTCAGCTGACTCAGAAATACAAAAAAAATGTTTTCGCAATAACATAGCAAGCATTGTTCAAAGCACAAACAACAGTGTGCATTGTGCAGTAAAATCCATCCAACATTTAAAACACTATTTTTTTATCTTACAGATCATCTTTTTCAGCCTCGGCTGATAAGGTACACTTGGCGAATTGCACGAATGAGGTGGGTGTGGACGTGAGATGGCACGACACGATACTATTTTAGTGTTACCAATGGAGCTCAGTGGCACAAATTAAACTGCTCAGCGCACCTGCGGGCACACCAACGCGGCGCACACTGCTGGGATATAGCTTGCTGCGACTGCCAAACGTTGCGCAACAAAGACGGGCGACCAAGTCGGCAGCGTCGCCTGGCTGCAGTGACCTTAACAGCGTTGGTGCCGACACGCCGCGCTAACACCCCCTGGTTGCTCACATATTTCTTTTTCCTTCCCAAAGGAAACGCACGTACCAACTTGCCCAACAGCCATTCACAACCGGGAGTCAAACGCAAGAAGTACTCCAGCATAGTGCACCGCCCGCCCGACACGGTTACTCGGGTTGCACGGTTGTTACTAGGGTTGCATGGTTACTGGGTTGCCACGGTTACTAGGGTTGCATGGTTACTGGGTTGCCACGGTTACTAGGGTTGCATGGTTACTGGGTTGCCACGGTTGTTACTAGGGTTGCATGGTTACTGGGTTGCCACGGTTACTAGGGTTGCATGGTTACTGGGTTGCCACGGTTGTTACTAGGGTTGCATGGTTACTGGGTTGCCACGGTTGTTACTAGGGTTGCATGGTTACTGGGTTGCCACGGTTACTAGGGTTGCATGGTTACTGGGTTGCCACGGTTACTAGGGTTGCATGGTTACTGGGTTGCCACGGTTACTAGGGTTGCATGGTTACTGGGTTGCCACGGTTACTAGGGTTGCATGGTTACTGGGTTGCCACGGTTACTAGGGTTGCATGGTTACTGGGTTGCCACGGTTACTAGGGTTGCATGGTTACTGGGTTGCCACGGTTACTAGGGTTGCATGGTTACTGGGTTGCCACGGTTACTAGGGTTGCATGGTTACTGGGTTGCCACGGTTGTTACTAGGGTTGCATGGTTACTGGGTTGCCACGGTTACTAGGGTTGCATGGTTACTGGGTTGCCACGGTTACTAGGGTTGCCAGCTTTTGTGTTTTTTTTCTTTCTCAGGGACGTCCTCCTGTTGAGCTGGCAGCTGTCATGGGAAATCCGTAAAGTTTTCCCGGGATATTAAAAGTTGGGATTATTGCCAATTGAGCAACGATAACCCACCAAAGAAAATGCAATTGTGTGTAGTTCTACCCTCTGCCGCTTTTTGTGAGATATGCTTCTTCCAACGATGTTCCAGTCTTGTTGCACATCCAAGGTGGCAACCCTACATGGTGCACACTTGCATGCATGCATATTGGACCTACACAATACAGTCCATGGATTATTACATCTCATCCATTATGATAATTGCTCAAATGGAACACTACATGTTGAGAGTTCCCTAGTTTGTGAACTATATTCCCAATCCTATAAAACCACTATTTTACGTGTTAAAATCGTACACTTATTCTCAAAAGACGTATTTTCATTGTAAAATGTCCCCGTGAAATATGTACAGAGAAAAAAAATCTAATCCTGAAATCTAATTAGGATTAGACGATATTCGCATGCCTTTCATAGGAAATGCTTATATTCTAAGTCAACTGCCTTCAGTGTAATTTACAATTCTGTGTGCTTCTCTAGTAATAAACGCATCCTATTTTCCACGTTTGTGCTTTCTGCAGCTACATTTCAATAAGGGGGAGACGTGTGTTTATGGAAAATAACTATACCCCCCCCCCCCATTATAACCACAATTAAAATACTTTCTATAAAAATTTTTAGATTAAGCTTTGAGCGCATAACTTGACAGGACTGAGGATGAATACGTGAGACCGCGTGGATGTTTTGCGTAGCAGGAGCGGTGGTGTAGCGGTTAGCGTGCTGCACTACGAACCCGGTGAACCGAATTTTAAATTCCCGCTCATGACTACCAACACCAGTGACGATTGTCTGAACCGGTCCTTGGGCCTCCACTAGGTCAACTCATCCTCAAATTAGTACCTGATGCGTTGTGTAAAACATCGCCACTGGTGAGGCAAATGAGGCCGGGAGTGGTGCTGGCCACCCACCCCCTCGTATGCTATGCAGACCTTCATAGGTGCTCACTAACAGCACTTGCCCCAACAGTCTGTATATAGGCTATACGGGGGGTATTGTCTTTGTTCGGCGTAGCCCTGTTCCATCCGGCTCTACCGACGTGTTTTAGGGTTCTTCTGCGCGCTGTTTGGGCACAATGTTCCACGTTTTGCTGTACTTACTGCATACCGATGTTACGTAAAATCTTCACAATTCATTCATTCTACATTGCACACATGTGCTCGTTTGTGATGTACAAAAAAAACTGTTTTTGTTCTGGTCTTGGGAGTTCATGAAAGGTATTCGTATCTTTGTTTGATTTAAGTTGCTGCAAATAAAGAACAAAAAACATTGGAGCAGATTTTATGAAGCTCTTGTTATGGGCTTTGTAACAAATAATAACCACGCATAATATCGTATTAATGTGATGCTTGCGCTACTGCCACCACATTGGCCTGGGTGAAAATTTGCTATGGTTGGTGTCCCCAGAGCTTATATGCTTGCAAAGTGCCACCTCCTCCCGCACCGTGCAAAAGCAGACTACGCAGCATCATCACATGCTCGTGGCTTTGCGTGTCTGTCCACAAGTGGCCCCGCGTAACATGGCGTGCGCCTGTTGCCACTAACAATGCTATTGATGATGGGTCATGAATGCTTAGAGTGGTGTCCTTAAATCAGGGAGAGCCCTTGTCCTGGAGCCACCTTGCAGTGTTTAACAGCCAGCTGGCTGGGTGGCAGCCTGGCTGCTCGAACGCTTTATTTGTCACGATAGGAAAGTTGCGGGTTCAAGTTCTGGTCAGGATCAATTGGGCCTCCATCAGTGCTCTCCCCGGCGATCGATAAAACAACCGCTTTTTGTGAAAGCCATCAGTGGCCGTGCTATGGAGAGGCTGGCTCCCCGCCATGGAGTACGGAATTCTCGTCGTCGTCGTCGTGAATGCGTTCGTCGCTTAATTTATGCAGCGCCTCACACCTGCACGGCAAGTCTCGAGGCGCTAGCTCAAAAACTCGCAGCCAGCAGAGGATGAGCGCCGGGCGCATCACTTGTTTAAGCAATGGGACACCGACTCGTTCGGGTTGTTTTTTTGATCTATTCAGCTTGCGAGTCAACACTTGAAAGAATATAGGTTTTTGTGGCAATCGGCATCCGCGATCAAACCTCAACATCGCCCCGTCGACCCTCAGAAAGGAGCAGTGGCAAAGTGTGACGTGAATAAGCGATAGTGCAGCATTTAAAACTTGCGACGAACGCAAGCCCACCCAGCTCCTTAAGCTATATTTTTTTCATATTCAACAGCATCGCGTGTAGGCATGCGCCCCCTATAAAGATGTGTGCGCAGAGGTAACAGAAGTCAGATCAGGCGACAGCGGACACGTTCATGCTTGTGAATGCAATGGCGCAACATTACATAACGAGAGAGAGAGAGATAACATCTCGGTGTCATCACCACAATCCGTGCCAACTAAGTACAAAGATCCCCCGTGTAGCCTTAACAGACTGTTGGGGCAAGTGCTGTTAGCGAGGAGCACCAATGAAGGCCGACACGGCACACGAGGGGGTGGGTGGCCAGCACCACGTCCGGCCGCCTTCGTCTCCCCCAGTGGCGATGTTGACACACCACACCTGGTACTAATTTGAGGCTGAGTCAACCTAGGGGATGCCCAGAACCGGTTCAAATATTCGCCGCTGTTTTTGGTCGTGAGCGGCAATTGAACAACTAAGTACGGCCGCATTTTCAGCAGCACGGGGACTCGTGGATATTAAGCTGCACTCGCCTTCTATTGGAGCCATGTGATTTATATATATACATACCTGTCAACCCATACGGTTTACCCATATTCTTGTACAGGGAAATTGAGTTTTCAGGTCCATACGGCGTACAGCCATTTCAATAAGGGCAAACATATGTTGTATATTTGTTTGTGATTTTATAAGGGCACGGGGTGACCAAAAAGGTCTGAATTGGTAGGCATGATAAGGGGTTGACAGGTATGTATCTATGTATTGTACACACATAGAGGTGTATACGATACAAAAGCGAAGCCTAGGAGTATACTATTAAGCTTAACCTTCACACCACAAAGTAGTGTCACTTTGTAGGCTGGGCAAGCTGAGGATTGCCAAGCAGCGACCAGCAGGTCGTGGTTTCTGTCCTTGTAGTCCACAGGGTTGGCTGATCACGCAGAGGTGGAAGCTGCACGTGAGACACCCTTCTGCAGGACAATGAGGTGAATGCTGGGAACAGTGTATAAAGTCGGTTGTTTTAAGCCTCGAGCTCTCCCCATATGTGTGGGTTTTTCCAGAAGCTCTGGTTTCTTCCACGTGTAGAAAACAAATCGAAAAGTGAACTCGCCAAGTATCTCACAGCAGGACCCGACTGCAAAAATAAGGACCAGCGAGATTTTCCAAGATTAATGTACGACCAAATACACTGGCGAAAAGGAGAATTGCCAGACCAGAAATAATGCTACGTATTTCATTTTTTTGGAGACAAGCTAGAGCATTCGAAACGCAACATAGATGAGCATATTGATACCCAATATGACAAAATGTAGGCCACTTTTCGAGAACAAGGTTGTTACGAGCAGGTATGACCGAAACTGACATCAATAATTGGGTAAATACCCAAAAGTGTGCATTTCTATATAGACAGAACAGTATATATGGATAACCCAATATAAATACTCCACTGTATACAAAACTCAATGTCTCATCATGCTATACTGTACACACAATGGCGAGATGTTAACTACCTTGCATGGTATACAGGAGGTCGTGGGTTCGATCCCGACCCTGACACCTGTATATCTGGGGGCCTCTGGTTTTTCACTCCACATTCAGAAACATGCGTTTAGAGTATTTGGCTGCTATACATTTCCACGTGATAATCCACTTCGTTGGGCTATCATTTGTGGTCAGCTTTCTTCTGAAAAAGAGCTATATAGCTCAGTGGGCCTTACCTGGTAAAGTAAAAAAGTGTGTTTATAATAGTGTAGTTTTATATAATGCAAACTGCCTTCTGGGAGTTCATAATCTCAGCAGCATTGATTCAGAACATGCAGAATTCTGGGCTGGTTTTTAGACCCAGTGTCTCATCAACAGTCAGACTTGCTTAAATCATTACTGGTGAACTGCCAGAAAAATTAGCAGCATATTAAGCAACAATTAACGCATATGCTTGGAAACAGCTGCCAGTTATCCACCCCCATTGCAAAAACTACTCCTTTCAACTTCACCCCGACATCTTAAAGCACTTCCCCTAGACCCCCCCCCCCCCCAGTTTGTTTCATAGGCCATGACCTTGTGAAGTGATGACGGAAAGTTTGGGGTCAAACTAGACCAATGCCTGACCGGCCCCACCGTGGCTTGCGTTTATTGTATTTAGTCACACGCGGTAGCTGACTCGACTGTCATTGCTCAACACATACATGTACATATAACATGAAGTGGGCTACGTGCGTCATTTACTGATTTCAAGTGAGTTAAGCGAAAAATATTGGGGAAGTAACCCCAATGTTCAACATTGATGCAAGAGCCAAGAACCGGGCTTGATCTCGATCAATAGCCGCACAGAAACACTCCGCTTGAAACGAGCAAAATGCATCCATTGAGAATTTAAGAACAATTGTCAACACAAGTAAACAGAATGATATCTGTCCAATGTACGTTTACTTGAGTCTCTAGATTTTGCAGAAGAAAAACAAATCTATTTGATGTACACTTAGTGCATAGAATAAAGACGGGACAACGTGGGAAATTGGTTTGTGTTCTGCACTCAAGGTTAACGAGTCATAACACCTCTGGCTGACACACACACAATGGCCTCTAACGATGATCACAGGTGTAGCCGTTGCCATCGGAGACCAGGTTAAAGATGCAGTGCGTGTGCTTAGCGTACGCTAGAACGCTCGCCCGCTCTCAGACAAAGCCACTGTTGACGGAAGCCACAGACGACGAGGGAAATTACGTGATAGCAAAGGGAAATAAACATGAGGTTAAGCTATAAGTTTTGGCCAATTACATTGCCTCTTGATGTCCATGTCTATTCAATTGCTGAGCAGTTTTTTTGAGTATTGAAAAAGAGACAAAGAAACTGCTGACACGACTTTACAAAATATCAGAAATTGCAAACAAAATTTTCTGCTTGAGCGTGAATCGTGGCCCATTAATGTGATGAATTGAACAGTATCAGCAAAGCTGCATTGGCACTTTTACATTGTGAGCAAAAGTGCACAAAAAACAAGCAGCATTAAAGTGAGGCTCAGGAGTTATCCGTATATGCAACTGTCGTGAATAACACTACCTTAAAATTAAAATATATATTTATAAGAGCTGACGTTTTGCACCATAGCCCTATATGTGCTATGAAGAAGGGCCATTATTAAATACTTTCTTCTATTAAGGCCACAGTGTTATTGATCATTTGTTTTGAATTTTCTTTCCTTACTTGTGCTCGTGTGCTCCACTGCCAAATCAGCATCACCAAATAATTTGTAAGTACACTTTGATTTTTGGAGCCTTCTCCAGCCAAGGTACAAACTCACGTGAGCGAACGTCTTTCTGCAAGTTCACTTGGCAAAAAACGTC